TTTTTTTTTTTTTTTTTTTTTTTTTTTTTGGGGGGGGGGGGGGTCCTTATTATAATTACAGTATAATATACCCCAAAGCCTACTCATTCAGGCCCCTGTATTATTTGCACACAGAGGTGCCCGTCCCTGAATGGGCGCGCCGGGATCTGCGTGTGCATTGATTTGTATACACTTCTGCATTCATCCGTCCACCTCCTATGTCCAGATGTTTGCATGTCTGTGCAAATGCATATTCCCATCCAAACATATAGTTGTACATAGAGCAACAAAGAATTGAAACCGGTCTGCGAGATGTGATTGCGCGGTGGCAGTGTGCAATTTCTCAGCATGGAGCATGCCGCATAATTGCCAGACTAGCAAGCTTTACAAGCGCATCCCGTTGCAGAAGGGCCTTTCTCACACCAGATCCTGCTTTTGGACGCCCATCTCTCAGGGAATTGAAGCCACTGTTGCAGAGCAAAGGTTTCAGAAAACATCGTAAACCCTAACACCCTACGTATGCCTATACCCTGGACCCTTGAAGGAACCCTTGCAGGAATCCTGAAAAAGGGACCTTTGGAAGGAGCCCTAAACAGTAAAACCCCAACCCAAAGGCGGCTGTCCGAGCCAAACTCGCTCAGGCCGATCGGAGAGAACGACCCTCAGCTTTGGTTTGGGGCTTGGGAGTTTACTTGGAGGTTCATGGGTAGTTATAAGTGGAGATATAAGTCCCCTAATATGGGTCATAACTATAATTACCTGACTTATAACCCTACTTATACCTACCCATGAACCTCCAAGTAGGGTTTGGACTCTCGCTCTCGGACTCTGTAGGCGAGGTTTGGGGTTTAAGGGTTTAGCTGTGGCTTTGAATAGATCGAGCTGATTTGAGTAGGCTCGCTTGTCTTCTGCCCCCGCTTTGCTGTCAAGCAGAATCGGCTTAGAGCCTAGAGGTCTTAGGCTCATAGGCTCTACAGGTTTAGGGGTTTGGGGCTTAGGGGATTTAGGCTTTAGCTTTAAGCTTGACGGCGTCCCCTGACCCGATGATCAAGCAAATGCTGAAAAGTACAGGCTATTAAAATGAACCCGGTTGTGAAGACTCGATATCAAGGTAGCTTTGAGGGTCTAGGTGATGAGGCATTTACTTTACTGTGCGGCGTTTCGTGTTAGTGTTTTGAGGGTTGAAGAGTGTTCTGTGGAGGGCATTGGGTTTGGGGGGCATGGAAGGTGGGGGAACACTTGGTTCAAGTTGGCGCTCGTTTGTTCTAACAGCACCCACCCTAATCTGCGTTCGCATAGCTATTTCTACACCACAATTTCAAGCAGGAGTTGGAGTCCACCACGCAAGGGAGGCACAATCACTTTCGTGACCTTGGTAGCCTCCTAGAAAACATACTCCAAGCCGTGCTGCCCTTGCTATCGCCCAACATCTAGTCTAAGAGTATCTAACAAATGTGTGACGCGTGAGTTTAAGGATTCTCACAGCCATTCGCTCATCCAGGGGTTATCCATGAACCTTCATGCCCGTAGTCAGCAGCGCTTTCACCAATTTGGGGCCCCGACAAAGTTCTGTGCTCTACATTGGGGTCCCTATTGTTTTCGACTCACGAATCCCAATCCCTGGCGTTTAAGCAAATCTTTTAGGCAAAGCTTGGGAGGCTGAAGAGAAGGAATCTAGATTGTTTGGGCCTCGGGTGTACAACGTATACTCCGAGCTTCGAGTAGGTGTGGGACGTAGCCTTCAGGATGTATCCTTTAGGAAATATGGTGGCCCTAAGCCTTTACCCCTAAACCTTTGATTTAATGTAGGGGCCTAAATAATTACCAATACTATTTTGGGGGGTTCCTTATTCTAATTTATAGTATAATGGGCCCCAAGACCCTAGTCTAATTATTAAGGCCCCTTTGTTAACCCTGATGGTACGTAAGGTTTGTGGAGCTCCCAAGCTCCTAGAAAGGACATCAATACACAAATTCGTTTGGGGATGTTTAGGGTTTAGGATGTTTACGGTTCAGGGGGCAAGTTTTCGACAAGAGATACCAGGATGAGCCTTACCCTGAAAGCTCTCTGGGCCCCTTAGGACCCTTAAAGCCTTCTAGGCTGCAGCTGGGCTGCCTTCATTGGTTTCGGCCTGGTGATGCCCTGCTTCCGTCACCAGTCCTTCAGTCGTTCGGGCGGTTTAGGGTTCAGGGTTAGGGTTTTGAGTTGAGGGTTTGGGTTTAGGGTTTAGGGTTTTAGGGTTCAGGGTTGCGAAAAAGAATCGTCCATAAACCTTCAGAAGGCCTTGCTCTATCCTGCCGTAGTAGTTTAGAACCTGCTCCCTGTTGCTGGAAACCCTAAACCTAGTAGATTCTCGATCCCGCTCTCAAACGAGACCCGAAAAGTCCAAATCTTTCGAAACCCACCTTTCTTTTCCAACAGCCGTGGTTGGCACTCCCCTAAACCCTAAACACTCCCGAACCCCCGAGCAAAAGAACCGAGCCTGCGACGATCGCCGGTGCCGGCACAGCTGGGGCACCGCCGAGGAAGAACTGGTGACCTAGTGCCTCACTGGACGGAGACGTGTCGTTTTGGGGATGTCCGGTTTAGGGCTGGGGTTTAGGGTAGGGACCCCAATATCACTGACGTAAGCTTCCTATAGAAAGGATCCCCACTACACACTTTAAGAAAAGATTCCTCAATTCAGGGACTCTAAGTATAGAAGAATAGTGTCTACAGGGTTGGGAACTCAGACGATCGCAAGTTTTGGGAATTCGGGTGCAGCATGGGTTAGGACTTGGCGGGTCAAAGGCTTGGGTGGGAGTCTGCCATGTCGTGTTCGACGGGTCTTGTGTCTCTGCGATGCCTGGTTCTGAAAACCTACTCAGCAGGTTCCATGATCTGTTTGTTGGTTCTTGCTGTTGTGGCTCCGAGCAAGCATTTGCTTTATGGATTAGACTATGCACCCACACCTGGGTGATGGGATCTAGCGCTGTACCGTGGGGTCAGGGGTTGTTGATCTTACTTCTGCCGAGCGTTTCCAGCAGGCTCCCGGTGATTGGCCCGTTTTTTCTCCATCAGCTTGGGCCACGGAGAGTTGCTGTCGTTCGGCTTTCATTGTGCTGAGTACTGTCAATGCCCTTTCTTACTGCATCACTAGGAACCTAAAAGAGATCAATGTAAGCTATAAGCAACCCCGAAACCCTACATCAGACCCCGTTGGCCCCAAAACCCTGAAACTAAGCCCTAAAAAAGCTTAACCCTCAACAACAAAGACAAAAGCCGAACACTCGAAGCCCTAGAACCAAAGTGAGAAGCGTCCATCGCCTCCCGTGCGCTCAGTCGATGGCGCGGGTTGAGGCGCAGAAATGACCACAGCAAATCTTGGGCCTCCGGTTTAAGTCTGTTGTGTTTTGTCGGCCTTCTGCTTAAGGTTTAGGCCCGGTTTAGGGTTCATCCTGTTGAGCTTGCTGTTTTCCCTGTGGGTTTGCGCCTTGGGGCTTTAACCTGCATCGCATGAAAGGTGTAGCGTTTGGGGTTTCAGGGTTTTGTCCGGTAGTATAGGTCATAATAACTAGGTTCCTGAGTGACCCCTAAATAATAAGGGTACCCTTTTTCCTACTATTCGGTTTTAATAAGGAGACCCCAAAATAAAAAGGGCAAAAGGGTACTACTCAGGAACCTAGATAATTAGGATAAGGCTTTGGGCTAGACCATATCATGGTTACAAAGGAGGATAAGGAGATACGACTACTGGTTGATCCGATCTCCATATATATATATATATATGCTCACCCCCCCCCCGTTGACAGACCGCGGCGCGCATACAGTGTGTTCCTGGCAAGTGAGCCTGCTGATTAAAACCTGTTCGTGATTGCCGCCGTTGGCTTTTAACATTGGTTTTAGTACTTTCCTTTGGTATTGAGACTGGCGTTAATTTTTATAGTAGCA